CAACAGGAAAATCTAACATGTCAATGACCATAAAAGTTTATAATTTATGCATTTTCTTTTAGTTTTAGTATACTCTCACTTTTCCACAGTCTCCAGCTCAGTACAACTTCGACTGGGTCGTGAAGGACGACTACTCCGCCAACGACTACGGCCACCAGGAGTCCCGCGACGGATACAACACACAGGGATCCTACTACGTGCAGCTTCCCGACGGTCGCCTGCAGAAGGTCACCTACCACGTGGACGGCGACTCAGGCTACGTGGCTGAGGTCAGCTACGAGGGACATGCTCAATACCAAGCCCACCAACCTTCCTACCATCCTACACCTGCATACCATCCTACCCCTTCATACCACACCACCCCTTCCTACCATCTTACACCTTCATATAGACCTACTCCTTCTTACAGGCCAAGACCTCATCACTGAAAAGCTAATTTGTAAAAGATATATAGCATATTCATATTCACTATTTTTGTATGTATTATATATATGCATACTGTATTATGTATGTATTATATATATGCATACTGTATTATGTATGTATTATATATATGCATACTGTATTATGTATGTATTATATATATGCATACTGTATTATGTATGTATTATATATATGCATACTGTATTATGTATGTATTATATATATGCATACTGTATTATGTATGTATTATATATATGCATACTGTATTATGTATGTATTATATATATGCATACTGTATTATGTATGTATTATATATATGCATACTGTATTATGTATGTATTATATATATGCATACTGTATTATGTATGTATTATATATATGCATACTGTATTATGTATGTATTATATATATGCATACTGTATTATGTATGTATTATATATATGCATACTGTATTATGTATGTATTATATATATGCATACTGTATTATGTATGTATTATATATATGCATACTGTATTATGTATGTATTATATATATGCATACTGTATTATGTATGTATTATATATATGCATACTGTATTATGTATGTATTATATATATGCATACTGTATTATATATTATTATATATATGCATACTGTATTATGTATGTATTATATATATGCATACTGTATTATGTATGTATTATATATATGCATACTGTATTATGTATGTATTATATATATGCATACTGTATTATGTATGTATTATATATATGCATACTGTATTATGTATGTATTATATATATGCATACTGTATTATGTATGTATTATATATATGCATACTGTATTATGTATGTATTATATATATGCATACTGTATTATGTATGTATTATATATATGCATACTGTATTATGTATGTATTATATATATGCATACTGTATTATGTATGTATTATATATATGCATACTGTATTATGTATGTATTATATATATGCATACTGTATTATGTATGTATTATATATATGCATACTGTATTATGTATGTATTATATATATGCATACTGTATTATGTATGTATTATATATATGCATACTGTATTATGTATGTATTATATATATGCATACTGTATTATGTATGTATTATATATATGCATACTGTATTATGTATGTATTATATATATGCATACTGTATTATGTATGTATTATATATATGCATACTGTATTATGTATGTATTATATATATGCATACTGTATTATGTATGTATTATATATATGCATACTGTATTATGTATGTATTATATATATGCATACTGTATTATGTATGTATTATATATATGCATACTGTATTATGTATGTATTATATATATGCATACTGTATTATGTATGTATTATATATATGCATACTGTATTATGTATGTATTATATATATGCATACTGTATTATGTATGTATTATATATATGCATACTGTATTATGTATGTATTATATATATGCATACTGTATTATGTATGTATTATATATATGCATACTGTATTATGTATGTATTATATATATGCATACTGTATTATGTATGTATTATATATATGCATACTGTATTATGTATGTATTATATATATGCATACTGTATTATGTATGTATTATATATATGCATACTGTATTATGTATGTATTATATATATGCATACTGTGTGCATATATACTAGTAAGAGAAAGACATAGAGATGTGTGAGCGTGTGTATTCATATATGCACATATATATGAATGTATGCATATATATGCACAAATACAACCAAATAAACACAAGTAAATATATGCTGTATATATTTATATATTAAGTAGTATAATACTAAATTAATGATTTATTTTCTCTTCGTTATTTACGAATGCACTCACAATGGTCTCAAAGCCACTACCATACAGTATTATACTTTAAGGAAATATCGTACGCTGACTACGTGCCGTACCCTTGGACTAAATATCAACCGTAACACATACAGTGTATGTACAGTTTGTATATAAATGTATATATATATGTATATGTATATATATATGTATATATATATGTATATATATCATATATATATGTATACATATATTATATATTATTATATATATGCATACTGTATTATGTATGTATTATATATATGCATACTGTATTATGTATGTATTATATATATGTATACATATATTATATATTATTATATATATGCATACTGTATTATGTATGTATTATATATATGCATACTGTATTATGTATGTATTATATATATGCATACTGTGTGTATATATACTAGAAAGAGAAAGAGATAGAGATGTGTGAGCGTGTGTATTCATATATGCACCGTATATATGAATGTATCTATGTATATATATGCAAATACAACCAAATAAACAAAAGTAAATATATGTTGTACATATTTATATATTAGGCAGTATAATACTAAATGAATGATTTATTTTCTCTTCGTTATTTACGAATGCACTCACTATGGTCTCAAAGACACTACCATACAGTACCATACTTTGAGGAAATATCGTACGCTGAATACGTGCCGTACCCTTGGACCAAATATCAACCGTAACACATACAGTGTATGTATAGTATGTATATAAATGTGTATATATATATGTATATATATGTATGTATATATGTATATATATATGCACACTACTATATATTTACCCATATATACATAAACTGCCTATGTGTGTATGCCATCACGCTTCATGAATAATATGTGTACAGACACATGACACATGTCAAACAGTAAATGAATGCGATGTGACGCTTACAGCTTTTAGAGGATGGACTGTCGAGGAATACCCATATGAAAATGTAAATATTAGTATGATGTAAATGCCAGGAACTCAATTTGCTTTATGAGATTCATAATGACAAGTAATACAGGCGTAACCAAGATTTTAGGAGTGAGGAATATGGGTAAGGAAAAGGAGTAAGACTCCCTGAGACTTTAACTGTCAAGTGCGCTGAATTATTCACTGAAATAAACTTTGCTTCAAAATGTATCGGAAGTGCCTAATGAATGATAATAATTTAATAATAATAATATGCTAAAATGCTAAATAAACACTTTAAATATCAATGACCTGCACAATATTTGCTCTCTAAGCGTTTCCATTCGTATAATGAGGGTCTAATAAGCGGCAAAAGTGGGCGTGAATAGATCTTGCTCCTCAAGGTCAAATGAAGCCACGCCTACGTCTCTCGAAGTATATAAGACACAGGAATGAGTGTTTTTCATATCTAGCAAAATCAGTAAACATGTTTCTTACGGTGAGAAAGAAAAAAAAAACATTTTGGTAATACAAATCGTGGGCCACTTAATTTTCTTATCACAGTACAAGACTGTTAATCATGAATTAACTTTGTTTTCTTGTGTTCCAGTTGACCGTCGTGTTGGGCCTGGCAGCTGCCTCTCTGGCCGCTCCGTCACAGCCTCCCTACGGATACTCTCCTCCTCCCTCTTACCAGGTAAAAAGTTTGAAAATATTTTCTATATTTTGAACACAATTTTCTTGCTCTAGAAAATCATTGAGTTTTAGCTACATTTCATCATCATTTATTACAGTTGCCTTCACCTGATAATTTTCTGGTGATTTTAATTTACATTCTCCTTTTCAATTCAGTAAACTTAGTTATTATTTTAATACTATTATTTTTCCTGATTTTAGTATAACTTGTATTTGCATATTAGTCTCCAGCTCAGTACAACTTCAACTGGGTCGTGAAGGACGACTACTCCGCCAACGACTACGGCCACCAGGAGTTCCGCGACGGATACAACACACAGGGATCCTACTACGTACAGCTTCCTGACGGTCGCCTGCAGAAGGTCACCTACCACGTGGACGGCGACTCAGGCTACGTGGCTGAGGTTACCTACGAAGGACAGGTTCACTACCAAGCCCACCAACCTTCGTACCATCCCTCACCTGCATACCAGCCAACCCCTTCATATCACACCACTCCTTCCTACCATCCTACACCTTCGTACAGACCTACCCCTTCTTATAGGCCAAGACCTCATCACTGAAAAGCTATATATAAAAAATATATATATAAAAAGCATATTCATATTTACTATTTTTGTAACTGCCTATCATAAAATAAATATATATTGATACATACAATTATACTTTAACATAACTCCTCATATAAACTACATATGTGTAAATGTATGATCCTTTAGAAAGACTAACGAGGAAATAACGTTCAAAGATGCAAAAGAAAGAAATAAAGTTAGCAAAATTACTGTTCAGGGATACAGTGAACTTATGGACAAATCAAGAGTGAATTACGAAGAAAACGGACAAACACAAAAACATCGCTCTCCATGCTGCGATCGCCACGTGGCCTCGGGGGATGATGTGTTCATCTCCTTCGCTGAGGTCAGCTGGTGTCCGGGGATGCTAGGGTGAGTCTGCCTCCGTGGGCTGGTCGTGGGCAGAGGCACCGGTTGCAGTACGCGGGCAGGGCAACGTTGGGGCGAGGGAAGATATTTGGGGATGGACGGACGTGGAGTCTGATTTCAGAGTTGTAACATAATTAACTCTCTCTCCCTCTTTATATATACACATATAGGTGTGTGTAATATTCATATATATTTTGTGCGTGTGTATATATATGTGTGTGTGTGTGTGTGTGTAGTTAGCTTATATATATATTCTTATGTAATATTCACATACTGCAGACACGCATAAACACAAACAAAAAAAAAAAAAAAAAAAAAAAAAAAAAAAAAAAAAAAAAAAAAAAAAAAAAAAAAAAAAAAAAAAAAAAAAAAAAAAAAAAAAAAAAAAAAAAAAAAAAAAAAAAAAAAAAAAAAAAAAAAAAAAAAAAAAAAAAAAAAAAAAAAAAAAAAAAAAAAAAAAAAAAAAAAAAAAAAAAAAAAAAAAAAAAAAAAAAAAAAAAAAAAAAAAAAAAAAAAAAAAAAAAAAAAAAAAAAAAAAAAAAAAAAAAAAAAAAAAAAAAAAAAAAAAAAAAAAAAAAAAAAAAAAAAAAAAAAAAAAAAAAAAAAAAAAAAAAAAAAAAAAAAAAAAAAAAAAAAAAAAAAAAAAAAAAAAAAAAAAA